TTTTATTTGTTCTTTCAAAGAAGCAGTTCTTCAGTTTATCAATTCTTTGTATTGTTTTCTTAGCTTCAATTGTGTTAATTTCTGCTCCGATCTTTGTAATTTCCGCCCTTCTATGAGCTTTGGTCTTGACTGCTCTTCCTTTTCTAGAGGCTTGAGAGGCAGCATTAAATTGTTTGTGCTCATTCTATTTTCCTGATGTGAGAATTCACTGCTATATATATTTCCTCCTTAGGACTGCTTTCATTGCGCCCATAGATTCTAGTACGTTGTATCTGGATTTTCATTAAATTGTAGGTAATGTTTAATGTCTTTAGTTTCATCTGTGACTTACTGGTTGTTTAGGAGGGTCTTATTTAATTTCCATGTGTTTATGTAGTTTTTGCAGTTTCTTTTGCCACTAACTTCCAATTTCAGTGCATTATGGTTACTGATATCTGTGTAATTTCAACTCCTTTGTATTTAGTTAAGCATGTTCTATGGGCTAGTATATGGTCTGTATTAGAAACCATCTCATTTACAGCTGAGAAGAATGTATATTTTGATGCTGCTGGGTGGAATACTCTGTAGACATCTACTAAATCTATTTGCTCATACGTTTGGTTCAGTTTTGTTAAGTAGAATAGCTATCCCTGCTTTTTCCTGAGTTCCTGTTGTACAGATTATTTTCCTTCATTTGACATTCAATGAATGTGTTTCACTTTAAGTTGCTTATTATATATACAGCATATGTTTGGACATTGTTTGTTGATCTATTCTGCCAATCTATTCCTTTTAATTGGTGAATTGATGGCATTTATATTAATGGTTGTAACTACTGTGTATTGGCTCATCGTCATGTTATTTCCCTGTTGTTTTGGCTCTCGGTTTTTCTCCTTTGTTTAGTAGTTTGCCCTGCCTGATGGTTTCTTCCTGTTGTTGTTCTGGGAATTGTGGCCATTTTTCTCTTTCTAGAACATCTTGCAGTACTCTTTCTAGGGTTGGCTTGGTAGACACGAGTTTCTTTGGTTGTTCTGTGTCAAGGAAGCATGTTATTTCTCTATAAATTGTGAAAGACAGTTTTGCAGGGTACACCAACCTGGGTCGGAAGTTGTTCTCTTTCAAACACTTCTCTCCAATCTCTTCTTTACGTGAGGATTTGTGTTGGGAGGTTGGATGTGATTCTAATGGGCTTTCCTTGATAGGTGATGTTTCTTTTTTTCTAACAGTTTTTCATATTCTTTTTTGTGCTTAGTTTTTGGACTCTTGATTATTATATTTGTGGTTGCAGAATTATTTTGAGTTCTATATGTCTCATTTATCTGTATATCAGATTCTTTCCCCATGCTTAGGAAATTTTCTGATATTATTTCTGCAAATATATTTTATGGCATTTGTGTTGGTTCCTATTTTTTGATTGATACCTATGAGTCATATTGTTTTTCTTTGCATCGTCTTGGAGCTGTTGAATTATTTCCTGGTCCCTTATTATTTTTAAGTTTTTTTCTTTCATGATCTCTAGCTGTGATCTTGTCTTGAAGGTCTGAAAGTCTGTCTACTCCTGTGGGGTGCTAAGGTCGTATGAGTGAGGGAAAGAGGTCATTAAACTCATTCTTTATAGCCTTTCCACTCTTCCTAAAGTTAACTTGATCAATTCATTGTCAATGAAAGTCTGTTAAAATTCTATGATAAAAATTTCTCATAATTTGATCAACTTTTTCCATTACACATTTTAAATTGTCACATCTTCATAATGGATTGTTGCTCTTAGTACAATAGTATTCAGAATTAGCCCTTTTAACACTTTTTGCCTTTAGTTCACAATATTAATATTCTGTTAATTTTATTTATTCCCAGTGATCTGTATTTCAATACCTTTCTGTTAAAGTTTTGCATGACAGAGTTTTGGATGTGTGTCTTGTAAGTAAAATGCCTATATTTTAATCACTTTATAGGCAAATTTAAGCCAGCTCTGTTGCAACAGATAAAAGAACATGCCAGACCACTTGCATCCTAATTCTGTTTTTTCTGCTCATCTGTGTATGACCCTGGGAAGTTTATTTAATCTCTCTATGCCTCAGTATGCTTATGTGTAAAACCACTTTGGATATGAGTGCTTCATTATAGGTCACTGTAAAGATTAAATAAGATAAAATCCTTAGAACAGAACCTAATCCACAGTAAGCATTTAGTAACTGCAATTTAGAAAGTTTTATGGTGTTTACTTTGATGGTCTCATTTCTATTATTATTTTGTGTTTTCTCTTTACCACATTCTTTTCTGTTTACTAGGTCCTTTCCTGTCAATAATCCCTTTTTTTCTTCTATTTTGCATGTATTTCTTTACATTGTATTTCTATTCTAAGTGATTATTCTTAAAACTTTTATAGTGCTATTTGATGTGAACACATATATTTATATATGGCATACACATATATATATTCATTAATCAGAATAAAGAACATTTTCATTACCCCTGTTCTAATAATATTTTCACAGATTCTTCCTCTATTTGGCATCCACTAATTACAAGGCCGAATAATGACCAAGTTATTTACATGTCTTTGTGATCCAGAGCCCATATACTGAACCACTTGCTTATCTAATTCTCACATACTAAGCCAATTTCCCTGCCTTAATTCAATGTGACCAAACTGCAGGTATGCAGGGACACTCTGTGGGCTCCAAAGCCCACTGGAATTATTTAAACCAGCCAATCCTGTTTACTTGCTCTACTCATAGGAACCCTAATAAAAGCTGTTGCCTAGACTTCCGCTTCCTCCTGCTTCCTGGCCAGGTCTGATACTTCCCTATATGACCATGCATAGCAGGTCACCAGATATACTCCCTTGCAAGAGGGAAGATAAGTAACAAATTCTCTCGATAGCACAAAAATGGCTTTGGCACCTCTTTTTTATCAGTCACTTTCATAACTTAAAACTCTGACAGTGTAAGTTGATACAATTCACAAAACATTTCCTCGTGCTACTCTGTAATTTCTCTTTTCTCTCCGACTCTTGAGGCAAGCACTGGTGTGTTTCCTGTAGATTAATTTATATTTTGTAGAATCTTATTCAAGCAGAATTGTATTCATGTTCTGATTTACCTAGAAATTTATTTCTAGTTCATCCAAATATCAATTATTGTTTCCTTTTATTCTGTTGAGAGGTATTCCCTTATATAAAGCTTGGTGATTTTATTCATCCAGAAGTAGACATTTGGGTCATATTTAGTTTACAGTTCTTATAAAGACAATTGCTATGGATACTCATGTACATGTTTTCATGCAGAAATATGTTTTCACTTTCCTGGTGTAAACAACTAAGAGACAGATGACTAAGTTACATAGCAGAGATAAGAATTCACCTTTAAGGAAAATGACAGTTTTCTGAAATAGTTTGTCCCATTTGATGTCACACTATTAGCACATGAGAGTTTTAGTTTTGTAACCTCATCAGTATTATATATGATTGATATTTTTAATTTTTGCCATTTTAGTAGCTATGTAGCAATATAACACACTTTGTTACATTTTTTGAAATAAAACTTGTTTGTATAGCTAATAATTAAATTGAATTATTTAATTGTATTTAAAGAGGCTTTTAAAATATTGGATTTATCATTACTTTTTGCTGGTGTATATTTCCTCAGGCTTTGCTTTTCTTTTTGCTTAAATGTATCCTTTAGTAATTTTCTTGATGAGTTTCTTTGGGATATAAATGATCTTAAGTCTTCATGTGTTTTTTACTTTGCTCTGTCTGGAATGATACTAAGCACGCTAAAAATTTTAAAGATTCTTGTCTCTGTTGTTACTGATGAGAAGCTAGCTGTCAGTTTATTGTCATTCTCTGGTGGGTTTTTTGTTTCTAGTAGCTTTTAAGAATGTCTTCATTTTTCATATTTTAGTTTTACTCTGATGTGACTAGATGTGCCTCTATCTTTATTTATACTGCTAGAGCCACCAACACTCTTCTGATGTGAAAATCTTCCTTTGATTTTATTCTCAATTATCTTTCTTCAGTGATTGCTTCTCTTTCTATTCTTATCTTTTGTCTTTTGGAACCCCTCATAGATAGACTGTGTAGCTGCTTAATCCATCTTTTATTTCCCTTAACTTGCTTTATTATTTGTCTTTTTCTACAATTGTATATTGGGCAAATTTACCAGGATCATGTCTGAATTCACCAATTAGGCATTTAATCACCTCCAGTTGAGTGTTTACTTAAGAAGAAAAATCTATAAACCCAACTCAGCCTAGTCCAATGTTCGTCATATAGAAATTATAAATATTTGGTGGTTAAATATTTGGTGGTTAAAAATAGCTTACCCATTTGACCATTTCATTATTTACAGATGTATAACTTTATCAAAAGACAAATACTGCTTTTTTACACATAAAAGGTACATTTGCAAATTTGAAACCAACACATAGAAATATTACGTCAAAACCAACAAATTTAAAATTCTTTCACAAAATTAGAATGTTTCTGTTGCGAATTGGCTTTGCAGGAATCTTAAGATTGTTCTCCTTTGGAAAAATTTTTAGATTCTTTTGGCAGAATCCATAGGTTATGGACTTTCCAACTAGGCCTAAATTTTGGATTGCTCTCGTATTTGATAAATTCTTCTGAATATTATAACTGCATGGCATTGGAAGTGTGGTTTCACACAAAGATAAAAATATCTCTGTTTTGCTTCCAGCACAGTTTACTGGTGCCTAGCATTTTGTGTTGTATAAGGCAGCACACAGAAAGATGCTGATTGGTAAGGAAGCTATGTTCTTTTTTTTTTTTTTTAAAGAAAAGGGTACTTTAAAAAAGTTTCCCCTTATATACCTACCAGATGAGAATTGAGATCCCTTCAATTTCTTCTAGTCACAACTTGACATGTATTTATTAGCTTAGGATTAACAATGTACATAAGGAAAGATGCTAGAATCCTTTAAACATGTAAGGATGTTGGGTCACCTGACACAACCAGTTAAACCAGTAAGACCCTATAAAATGGTCATGGCTTGTGCAGTGCAATGATCAGACAGTGTGGCAGGTGATTTGCAGCAGAGCTTCCAAGGATGAGTCTGTATCTCGACAACATCGTATCTTCTCTACAGAGAAGTGGGACACTTACCAATTCTTTGATTGCAGGTTTGACTATTGGTATACAACAACTGTTCTCCGCTTATACTTTCAGATGTCCCTGTCAGGTTGGGAGAAATTTTTATTATGGTTCAGCTTTTCTTGTTGTTCCTGCCTTGATCCTCCTGGTTGTTGGCTATTCTCTGAGAGGCCAAATGTGGACATTTGCCAGTGACTACTGCTGCAGCTGTAGCCTTCCACGACGGACACTCAGCCCCCTGGAGCGCAGACTGGCTTGCCTTAGATTCCTCAGCATCAGTGGGAGGGCCCTTGTTGCTCCACTGACCTGGCTGGCAGTGACCCTGCTGAAAGGCACCTACTATGAATGTGCAGCAAGTGAGTTCACGTCTGTGGACCATTACCCAGTGTTCGATAACATCACTGCCAGCAAACGAGAAGAACTGCTAGCTGGATTCCCATGTGACAGACCATTGGCTTCTTCTGACATGATCCTAGCAAGAGAGGATGTATCTCTTCTACACAGGTACCAGTCACAAGTAAGTGCACTGTTTTTCCTGTCATACTACACACATAGTTACTGCAGTCACTGGGAAACATTTCCTATTTCTGCTGCTTCTCGTGTGCCTGATCACAGAACGTGAACTAGATGCCACTCATCCAAATGAGTCCTATTGAGCAGTTACACATAATTAGGATATTGGGCTTTGGGGTCATCCCACCTGGGTTTCAGTCTCGCTTTACCATTTATTAATGTAAAAACAGCCAGCTTTCCTTCGTGGCTGTAAAGTGGGAACATTAACAGGATACACCCCAGGTTTGTTATAAGGAATAAAAGAGCTAAGGCATCTAAAATTCTCAGTACGGTAACTAGAATCTAGTGTGAAATAACGAATTTTTGATACTATTATGAATATTAATACTATATTGCCAAACTCAGCTTTCGGTATATATAACCTAAATAAACATTCTTACACATTGAAATGGCAGGAAGCTTGATTATTATTCAAAAGTCTCCAGTGATGTTTCTAAATTTAGTGTTCATGGCAGAATTGTGGCAAAGGGTAAATGGATGAAAACTGAAGCCTACTATATTTAGAGGTTAAATTTTAGAACTGCAATTCTTGCATTTTGTCAAGAAAGAAAAAGCCATTGATTTTTATCAGTCTCTACAAAGGATTTGGAGAAAAACATACTTTGAAACCATTGCAATACACTAGGCGCCGGCTTTTTAAAAACTATTTACTGTAAATGCACAAATGTTTTTTGATCTCTAGCCTTGCCATTATTAAAGTTTAGAAATGCTAATGTTACTTAGTTGAAAAACTTCACAACCAAGACAGAGAATACCAACATTGTAATCTGACCCTACAGCTCAGGTAGAGGAGCTAAGTGAAGATCTATGAAAAGTCTAAAAAAAACCAATGGTACAACTGTAACTTTCAAAAATGTTCTTGCTTAAGAAAAAGTAAAATGTAACACAATGATAAGATTATCTTAAGATAAAAATAATACGTCATTAAATGCATACACAGATTTCTGTGAAAAGTTAGTTTTATAGTTGTGAATACCATTATCAGTGGAATTTTTAGTTTTGTGATAACAAACCCATGTATCACATATAGAATTGTGTAAATATTTCATACCTTAACTCTAATTTTCACCATTAAGAAAAAGGTTATTAACCCCATTTTACAGATGAGTAAACCAAACCTCAAAGAATGTGTGACTTGCAGAAATTCACGGAGCTCACAAATGCAGATTATGATACCCAAAGTCACCCTGTTCCCATTTTGCCAGGCTGCCTTCTGCAATTACTTTGATCTGTGGTATTATCTGAAGAATAAACAATGCTTTTCAGTTGAATTTTTCTTGGTTGATAACAAGCTCTGGATATTAATTTCACTCAGTTCAATCTACCTTCTTTGGCCATGTGCTAGGCTGGTAAAAAATCATTCTAAATGCCAATTAGACTATCATCTCTCTTTCCCCCTCCTAAACTCTTTCAATGATTTTTTCCCATCCTAGCCTACATCCAAACCCCTTGGCATGACATACGCTATCTGACCCTCGATCACTTTTCCCTGACTGTTACCAACCTTTCAGTTCTCCCAGCTTCTCATGTGTTATTTTCCTACTTTTTCCTTTACTGGGCTCTCCTGCACTTCTTCAGTTTGGTGAACTTCTTTTTAATAATTGCGTTTTAGTAAGCATCATCTGTGGAAGTGTTCCTTGACTCTTATCTCCCTTCCATGATTATCTCCTCCTCCTTTGCTGATTCTCATTTTCCTTCCCATACATTTCTTTTCCATTGTGTTTCCTCACTGCTGTGCTTACTAAGATCAGAAACTACTACACTCTACTATCCTTTCTTGGCTTTCTCATTTCCCTTTGCAAGTTTAAAGAACATACAGAGGATAAATCCCCTTCCTTTCATTATGAAACATCATGTGCTACTTACAGTGGTTGTCAGCTTGGAGCTCAACCTGGTAACGAATTAATGGGCATCTGAAGTGTTTTTTCCTCTTCTGCACTGCCCTCTATAAAGCTACTTTAATATACACAGCACTGTGTAGTTCTTAGAGTGCAACCATCTCTCTGCATATCCCTGTGATGCCAGGCCCAGGTGCAGAGAGGCCTTTCTTGCTTGGACTGTGGCTATACACTGCTCGCTTCCTGAAATATGTGACTTGTCTTCTTCACTTTAACAATTGCTAAATGTTTAAAAAAGAGTAATAATAAAAGGCAAAAAAGGATTCTAAGACTACAAGTTATGTCAGTCTTTAAAGGCAGGTACTAAATAGTCTCAGACAAAAACCAGTTACTTTGGACGGAAAGTAGTTACTGTAAGGCAGTGACTATACTATTTACAATGCATTTAAAGACACAGTCTGTTCACTGACTTCCTGGGTTACAAGACATAAAGAAGGAAGAGCAATACAGGAAGAAATATCAGTGCATACTTGTTAGCACATCACTGAAGACATTGGAGGCTGCTATTATATTCTAATCACACCATCATTTTCATCACCATCATTTATCAAGAATTTATTAAGCTCCCAAAGAATGTATGGGCCTGTAGCTCAAGGTTGAAAGATTGAGCTATAAGCAAACAATAATGTTTATATATCTTATATAAGGTTATGTCATGGGCTACCACATCTATCACTTTAAGAGCAGTACTCAGAATCCTTTCTATGTTAATTGGTTAAATTCCTTTGTAATCCAAAAAGCAAAAAATCAAGTTAAACCGGCCTGACCTTTCCTTTCATCAGGTCTACTTCTGCATCAAATGATCAGCTTTTTAAAAATTTTTTTAACGTGTTAAAGTCTGGAAACACAAAGTTTTTATGTGTTTTATCCCTCCCCCCCGCCATTGCATTCTGTATTTTGACACAAGGTCTTGCTACGTTGCGACATTGACAAAGCCAGGCTTGCACTTAACAATCTTTCTGCCTTAGTCTCTTCTCAGAGCACTGGGCTGATAAGTGCTGGGTGAAGATAGAGCTTTAACTCACATTTTAGCTCTCAATTTTGTAGGAATCCCTTGAATATTTGATGCATCGATTATTTCTGTTTTTCTTTCTAATAATGATGTGAAGATGCTGGGCTGGATTTTGATTGTCTTGGCGACCACTGTTATCTTGGTGTCCTGCTGTCTGGCAAGGTGCTGCTCCCCCTTCACCTCTCTGCAGCATCACTACTGGACGCGCCACCTAGAAAACGAGAGAGAGCTCTTTGAACAAGCAGCTGAGGAGCACTCCCGGCTCCTCATCCGGCAGCGCATAAAGAAGTTATTTGGCTTCATTCCTGGGAGCGAAGACATTGAGCAGATCCGCATCCCTTCATGTCAGGACTGGAGAGAGATCTCAGTGCCCAGCCTCCTGTGCATGGGTAATAACACAAAAGGTCTCTATCGCTCCCTTGGAGACAGGGTGGGTGAAGACCATGAGGAAGAGAAAGTAGGAGACATTGAACTAAAACCCTGATAACATCACCTTTCACAGTTCAAGCTGCTTAACAGGTACTTGATACAATGACGGGGTTTTAAGGGAATTTTTAGTTTTTTCTATTTTTGATATTTGTTTTAAGAAGCCTATCTGAATCATTAATCCCATAGTCAATTTATCTGACAATCATGGCAATCTATCTTTTTGGAATTTCATGATGGTGTAAAATGCCTATAGTGTTACATTGGTCTAATAAAAACAAACAAACAAACCAAACCAAGCTACCCCTTGGAGTTGTGCTTTTTGAGTTTTTCACATATTCTAGATATTATTCTTCTAATACCTAACATATAGCATCTAAAATATATGAAAAACTCAAAAAGTTGAACTTCTCAAAATAAAAGATTCAATAAAACAATGAGCAATCAAATCGACAGACACTTCTCAGAGGGAGAAGTACATTTGACCAAAAAGTACATGAAACAATGTTCCATATTTCTGAGCAATAGACAAATGCAAATCAAAACAACACTGAGATTCCACGTTACATGACTGGCTATCATCAAGAACTCAAAAACCAACAAATCCTGGTAAGGCTGGAGGGAAAAGGAAACCTGTCTTGGTTACTTTTCTTGTTGCCGAGACAAAGCACCTAACACACCAAGTTAAAGGAGGAAAGGTTTACTTAGCTCACAGTTTGCAGAGGTTCTAGTTCATAGTTGGGTGACTCCAAGGCAGGGTGGCATGGCAGAAGGGCAACAATTCATGGCAGACAGAAGGCAGCAAAGCCATAAGGGAGGGAGACAAACCTCTTTCTGTCCCTTTTATTGCATGCAGCCCACCAGGATTAAGGTGGTACCAAACCAGGCAGTGGACTGATTTACTAATCACATGGCCTCAATTCCAGCACTACACACTCTAGATTCAACCACCTCTGAAAAAGCCCCACCCATGACAGAAAGAGGTGCTGGGGTACATTTAGATAATAGAACCCTTCTACATTGTTGGTGGGAATGTCAACTAGTACAACCACTACAGAAATCTGTATGACGATGCCCCAAAAAACTAAAATTAGAAATTGTATTTGATCCAGCTATATCTCTTTTGTGATATCTTCCAGAAAAAGTCAGACACCATGTAACAATGATACATGCATACTCAAATTTATACTACCACTGTTCATAATAGCTAAATTTGGAAGTGACATGTCCATCAACAGAAAATTGTATAAAGAAAATCTGTATATATACACAATGGAGTACTACTCAGCTGTAAAGAAAGAGAAATCTGTCATCTGCAGTAAAATTGAATGAGACTTTAGACCCTAATTTTAAGTAAACTAGATGAAGAAGGTTAAATATCACAGTTACTCTTTTAAAGGAAGCCCAAAGCACAAATAATTTAAAGAGTACAAAATAAAATAGAGATAGATGATAGGAATCAGGGAGGTAGATTTTGTGGAGCTCAGAAGGTCTGTAGGATGAGAGAGAGGAAAAGAATGGAGGGGGGAAGTGTAAGTAAAAACTATTTAAGATGTACTATGTATATGCATCAATTCCCCAAGATGTAATTATTATCTATCACATAACTATAAAGAAAAAATATGAGATCTTTTCTTCTTAGCTTGCATCTTAGTTCTGTGACTTAGTAGCTGTGTGAAAACTAATATTTAATAAAATAAGTGCAATGAATGTCTCTTCTTTGAATTCCATGCCATCACTATTTTCTCGCCCCTTTATTTCTGGTTTTCTCTATCTCGAACTTTGTAAAATACCCAGGAAAATTTCATGATCTTCTCCTCTTTCTTTAAGCCTGAAGGTGTGACATCTTGGGAATCAGGATAAAATGCACTTTCTAACCTGCTGACACCTGAGGAAGGTGGTATCATCCAGCCATACTCAAGAGGAAATGATGCACTGTTATTTTGTCATCTAAGTGTTATTCGTAGCAACTCCATTCTAAGAGAATTTTCATGGCTAGAATATATAAAATCTATTTGAGAAAGCTTCCCCTCTGTGCTCCACTATGTACATTTTCTCTATCAAACTACCTTTGGCCTTATGGTATAATTGTATGGGGAACCAGGACTGAAGCTTATATTTGTACATCTATTACCGGAACCTCAAAGGTGGTAACAGCTGCTTGACTTTCATGGTCTAACTGTGCTAATGCAAGCTCTATTATTGGACAATTTTTAAATATACCTAGATTATTTCTAATACATATTTTGTCTCATGCCTGATTTTTGCCATTTCACTTGAGAAACTAGCTTGCTGGCCAAAATGTACAATCTGAAGGCTTTTATTCATTTTTAAGCAAAAACAGTTTGTTTTTTTAACTATCAATAGGCTAATGGCCAAAGGTCAACTTGACTTTCAAGATTCACTTTCAAGGAGACGAAATAACTTGATTATCTAATATGTATGCTACTAAATTCCTGGTATTTTTATACAATTACTGAAGATTCTAATATGAATCAAATTCTGAGTCCTTCAAAAACCAGACAATAAAAAATATTTTTAGGGTTTTTTCCTCTACCATAAGAGATTGGTTAGAGTAGGTCAAAAGACTTGTCTTTTCTCATTGTTACTTACTAGTTCTTTAACTGTGCATGAACCAGTTCATCTCTCTGGGTGTTACTGTTGAGCATACAAAATAAGGATAGCTATAACCTATCTCATGGAACACAAGAAAGGAAACTAAAAGAATTCTTGAGACTTTCTAACTGTGCTAAGAGCTTTACGTTGACAGGTAAATACCTTACTTTGGGCATCACAGTAGACCAGGTTGCTTTTTCTGGAAGAAAGTATCACTGAGTTTGATTTTGAACTTTCTTTAAAAGCTATTCATTTGCATTCTGCTTTCTGAAAAATGTTAATATACGAATGTTTTTCAAATTGATAGGAAAAGCTGTCAACTATCAATGGACTGATACAACTTACAAGAGTGTAAGTGTAGCTGTGGAAGGCACCTATGACCCTAGTTTCCTTTGACACATGAGCTGGTAGACATGAAGTCTTACCCATCTGTTCTCAAAGTTTTCCTCCAGCTCTAAAGTCCTATGGCTCTGTCTACGTGAGGGTTTTTGGAATTCTTTTGTGCTGGGACTTACTAGTTAAACGAACTCTTCATATCATGCTCAGAGGAAGTTCATTAGTTTTCACAAACTATACCACAGTAAAGACTCAATAATTTTTTTTTTTTATTGGTACTGGGGATTAAACTCACGACCGCCTGCTTGCAAGGCAGGTGTTTATGCCACTGAGCTAAATCCCCAACCCCAATAAGATTTAATTAGCAGCAAAATCAAAGAATGTATAGTTATAGCATTACATCATTGGAAAGAAGTTTGTTGTTTATAGCTATTACCAGGCAAGTTTGTCTCTGCTGATTTTTGAAGTCCTGTCTAAATCAAACCCTTTCTATGACACATGAGGTTTATACTTTAAGACAGTTAATCATGACGTTCCAGCATTGCTTTCTGGAAAAGGAGTATAAAATTCTTTGGCTCTTCTACACAGTTTCAGTGTTTCATGGTATCTATATGAATATTTAAAGGGCAGTATGCATCTTTGGGATCTAATTGTATATTATGCATTTCAAATGAAATAAATTTAATTCTTTATGTTTTTGTCTATTCTTTTGTTCCACGGCCAATTAAATAAAACTCTTTCATTAAAGTCACAGTACTCACCACCCTTTTATGCTCACTGGTTTTATAGCATTATAAAATATATCATTAAAATTAATTATGTGCTAATACTACCTTATATTTTGCTGTCAGTTACCACATCAAATTCTGTAGCTTGACAGAGGCTTGCTGACTTCTTAACTTCAATTTGTTCATCTTCTGTACTCCGCCACCACCATCGAAGTTGCTTCCTTCATATATGCTTAACTTGAGACTTCTGTTTTCCAAACCTGAACTGTACACAGCTCCATTGTCCCCCTAGTCGCTTTTCGGTCTCTGGTTCCCAATTCCACTTCTAAAGCATATCAGATTCGTAACTACAATACACAATAATATGCTTTTAAAATTGTTTTTCTTGCATTGTTTGTACATAAAGGAAAAGCATACAAACCCTAAAACTTTGAAGTACCAAAGCCAAAGGCTTTGTGAATATAAGACTTAAGAGGCAATGAAAAAAAAAAAAAAAAGAGGCATTGAAATACAATTTTAACTCCAAAATAAATCTCCCAAGATTTAGCTCTGTAAATGAAGAACAGACATCAGCAGGCTGAAGAGAGCTACATAACTGCCTGTATCACTGGAGGGGCATAAATCTGTAAATATGCCTCCTGGAAAAACACAGTGGATAGCCTTTCCAGGGGGGCAAACTGCACTATTCTTCCTTGAATTATTTTTTTGTACTGAGCATTAAATATCTCAAGCTTTTCTAATTTCAGCACACCAGAACTCCAGGAAGAAAAGGGATTTCAAACATGGTTTCCTCTGCTGCCACCCAGTGGTCTACACTCATACATGCAGACATTTGCAGAGGTGACCTCAATCCAGTTAACATCTGTAATACAAAGATCCGAAATTGCAAATGGTGGAAAATCCAAAACATTTTCAGTATCAACATGACGGATTAGGAATACTCAAGCAGTATGATCTATGCAAACATCCCTAAATCTAAAAAAACATCCAAAACACTTCTGGCATCAAGCATTTTGAATAAGGTGTATGAGCTGGGAGTGGCAAAAATAATTGTGGTGCTACCTATATGCCAACTACTCTAAACAATGTATTCTATTTATCAGTTAGAAAATACCTTGCTGAATTGACATTAAGTAATAGAGTGCAAGTGTTTTTTGTAAACTACTGCTCAAATAAAATACTTTTTATTTTGCTAGATAAATGGTCAATCAAAAGTCCTCCTTGCAACCCAAGCCTACTTCCAATAAAGTACGATCTCCTATTTTATAAGAGAGGTAACTGAGATACAGAGATGTCAAGCAATGGACCAAAGATCACGTATCTCCAAGTAATGAAACCGGAGTCTAGTCCTAGCAGCTTGTCTTCTGCACCTGTACCCCAAGTCACTGCGTTAAGAGTATGGTGATAGAGACAGCTTATTGATGTCCAGCGCCCTACAGTCTCCTTATACTGGTACCAACAGATACAGCGGCCAGGAGGAGTCTCCTCATACTGGCACCAGTGGATAGCTGGAACATCCTGAGCTCTGATACCAAGGTGCAAAGTAGCCCTGTGTTTCCCCCTTACCTGCACACACAGGGCTCACTTTAAAGGCACTGTTCTCACCAAGTCCACTCTCACTGGAAACAACTGTGGACTCGGGCATAAAAGCCAGTAGGACTGACTATTGGCCTCTAGCTCAGCACCACTCTATGCTCTTTTCCTAAGGTAGGGCCTGGGTAGGACGACACTGACATCTTCTGATTTGTTTTTAGTAGGTCATAGTTATGGTCAAAATGATCGGGAAAAGCCCCTTATTTAATCTCTTACACAAGTCAGGCTCTCTGGGACTTTTCTGGAATTTTCTTTTATATGAAATATGTGAAATGAATAAATTGTGGGATGGGTGATCGGAACACTGAGTCACAAACCTCTTTGTGCAGGCCATTCTGGTAAAAGTTATTTTCACACAGACAGAAGCCCACATAACTCAGTTTTCAGTACTGACAGGCTACATTTAATGGCTCCTAATGTCGCCCACATCCTAATCCCTGTAATTTGTGAAAGTTACTTTATAGGAAAATAAGCAAGACTATAGATGTGCTCAAGGTAAGGATTTTGGGAAATTATCCTAATGTAATCATGGGCTCAGTATAACCTCAAGTGTCTTTAAGGAGATTCTCAGGAACAGCCTGTCAAGAGAAATCAAAGTGACAACAGAAATGTCAGAGTGTAGTCTGAGGAACTAAGAGTAGGTCATGAGCTAAGGAACGTGGGCAAAGGAAAACTTACAGGCAGAGCAATGGTCTCTTCGGTTGGCACCTTGGTGCTAGCTCACTGTGACCTACATCAGAACACTAAGAACTATATCCATACAGCGGGGACAGGAAACTGGAATCCTGCCAGTGTTTCAGGAGCTTACAAATCCACAAGTCTATAGAGAAATGACATGCTCTGAAGTAAGACCTCTTCAAAGTAATTTCCAAATCTTGAAGAACTAAAACATTCTAAGATTCAGTATGTGCTGAAGTTCTGCCCTAGCAAAACTTTCATTCCTGGAAAATAAATATCTATATGATACTAATAAAATATATGTTCCAATATTATAAGGTGTTCTAACATATAGAAAGAACAGCAGAAAAAAACTTTATTTGGATTTATAGATGTTTACTCTTAAGCTACAAATAAAGTACTTTAAGGTTTTGTTTTGCAGTTGCCAGTTAATGGCATCAGTAGAACTATATACTATAAATTATTTTATAATGTAGATATTTGCCAGTAGTTGAAATATGGGAAAGTGGAAGCCAAGGCTAAGAAAAAATTTAAAAAAAGGAATCTGAAATATATATATATATGCTTTACAGGTTAAATAAATTTCAAATATCAAGTGTAGCTGGTCTATTATAGATATGTTTATTCTTGCTACTCTTTCATGTCACCATAACTTTATAACTTAAGAAAACCACAACAAATACACTTTCTGTTCAGTAACAATTAAAAGATCCTATGGGATTCTATGAGAAAGATTACACTTGTTAAGGATGGTAGAGTAAAAAAAAAAAAAAAAAAATCCAAGGCAGAGCTAAAATATTAGGCGCATTTTGAGCTCCCCTTTGAAAGGGTCTGGAAACCACTGGAGTGGGCACCAAAGCGGGTGTACACGCTTTCCTGGGCATCTCTGGTTTTCACCACAAGTGTCAGTCCCACCTGTAACTCAGTGCCACACTGTGGGCTGCGAGGGTTGTGCCAGCAGCCTGCACTTTGACCCAGCAGCCCAAAGGGATTTTAACTGGTGTTTCAGATCAAGGCAGTCCTCACTAACCTCTGGTCAATGTCCTGTTGGTGTGCTTTTTGCAGATCAAGGATACCCACAGGCATCCTCACTGTCCTCCCACCCTTGGATGTGGCAAGAAGGCAAGGTATAGCCCGTACTGAAAGTGATCCTATTTTGGGGATGCAGAGTTCATGCCCTCAAAAAACCAAAACAAGACGAGGCTGGAACCCAAGTGATACACTGAACTGACTAAACACAAATGATCATTCACATTGTACTGCCTATTTTGGAGTAGACTTGGATTTGTGGAAACAAAACACATTTATTTGACTAAGTCACTGGAAGCCAGTATGTGGGAACACTGTCATGGGTCATGGACCTTAAAGCAGTAAGATTAGGATTACATAAATGGTATTAGGATAACACAGAGGTAAGAACTTTACAGCTAAAGGACAAAGAGCCATACAATTGTGTTTAGCAACATTACTATTTTTATTTTAAAACCAGATGAAAGATATGAAATTAGGCCGAGTATATTTGAAAATAAAGAACTTGAAGCTCTTCAACCTAAGCAGGAAGGGATGCTACACGAACACTTTGGAGAAGCCTTTCACAGTGATTAAACAATAGACAAATGTATATGTAGCAATTCTAAATTGCCACCACAAAGTCCACTATACCTTACATAGGTCTATTAATTTTTAAAAATATATTTTTATACAATTAACTAAAATTATTTAAATAGAGACCCTGTTACCAAATCAGGCCACTTTGTTCTGCTACACAATATAATAATATAGGGATGAGTTTTGCAAAGAAGAGTTTATGTAGCACATGTAGAAGATGAGACACCCAAGTCTCAAATTTGTCAGATCTGCAGGACAGGGTTCAGGGAAATTTTGGGGATGAAGAAATAGGATGACTTTCTAAGGTGTTGGGAAAGTGACTAGAGGGGGAATAACTGCTGGCTTGTATATGTTTAGTGGCTGTTTACTGAATGCATGTTCAAAAAAGGGTGGCACTTTGGGCCTCCTGATGTCAAAGGTTAAATATCATTGGACACTTGTGCAAGCAAATGTCCATAGCTGAGCAAACAGTCTGTTACTTCAACACAAGTGGCCTTCAATTCCCTGAGAAGTAGCCCAGGCAACTATTATCATCATGGCCCACACATCAGAGTTGCCATCTGTAGCACAGCTGGGGGCGATTAATAATAGGTCAGTCAAGTGACCTCCAAAATTAGTGATGTTTAAGTCAACCTAAAGCAGGTGAAGCTAGAGGGCTAAGATTTTCTCCTGACCCCTTTCCCCAAAATACCTTGATTCAGTCCTTTACTTTTTCCCCACAGGAAGCTGAGTAATTGAGGATTTAGAATTTGATTTGCCATTTTAATTCTTAAGCTCATTTTCCTCCCATAAATTTATTTGTATTGACTTTAGTATGTCTTTCTATATCCCTTTGCTCCTGTTTTTTTCCTCTCTACACAGGTCTTTTCAAATCCAGAGGAAAGATGTGTGTGTGTGTGTGTGTGTGTGTGTGTGCATGTGTTTATGTGAGAGAGACAGAAACAAACAGGAGAAAGGAGTAAAACATCAAAGAGATGAAAAATGACCCAAAGAGTCACTTCCAGTTGGAGGTAAGGAACATGCACAAATTTCATTGCTTGTCTGTTCACATCCCACTGTGTTTTTATATGGAAGGTCACATTGAAAGTACAGCTCATTTAAAGCTGTTCCTCATTTGTTGCTGCATATTACTTAGGTGTCCACCTGTTAGAGGAATTAAGAATGTTAGCATGAGGCCGTGAAGTAGTCACTCTGCACACAGATACTCTGTTAGCTAAGACACCTTGGGTCAGAGAAGGTAAGGGCTACTTTGAAATCTGGTTCCCAAATAGGCTTCAATATGCGCAAGACTTTGAGGAATTATAGGCTTTTACATCTGGAAAAGAATCTTAGAAATTATTCATCAAAAGTCTTCATTTTATAAATGGGGAAGCTGACCCAAAAAGGTTGTATCTTACCCAAATTCATAAATTAAATTAATTGGAAAGAAGACCCATAACATACTTTTATAACCTGTGATCTAGTGCTTCTATAATCATACCATGTTACCACTTTATTGGGTCCATTCAAATATTTTCTGAGTGCCTACTATGTTTTAGGCACTGCTGTACCTGCTAAAGTACAGTAGTGAACAAGGATCCCTGACTCTGAGGTAAGATTAGGAAGTGACTCCCGTGGTTATAGAAGGAACAGCATTCCAGGGGAACCAGACCTTCAAACATCTCAATAACCAAAACACAGAAAACCCTAAACTAAGGACACCCAGAAATAAGCACCTGGTATTTGCAGGATGACTTCTTGTATTTTGTTTGATTTTCAGTACAGTATGGGGACTTTTCACTTTTTTTCCTTAAACTTTAAACGCCTGCCTTAAATATTTAAAACGTGGAATTACTATCGGTGTGCCTGAGTACCTTTATATAACATACTCCTCTGCTATACAGAAACAATACTGCCCAACTTAAAAAAAAAAAACAAAACATGCATTTTGGTTCAAGTGACAATCATTTTAAGAAAAGTTCAGAGCACTTAGCGTCAGGTAGCTTCTCACTTCAAAAGCGTTCCCTCAGGTATACACGTGAAATCAGCTTTAACACAGAAAAACAAAGCAAATGAAAACACAGAAATGTGGGGGCAATTTTAACACGGTGTAGTATTTTCTTACATCTTTCCACATTTAACACTTGATATAATACAAGAACACAGCCTCCTTCATTATAAACACAGTTGCTTAATACTTTTCTCGTAAAAGTTGCTAGTGCGATGAGTGCAGGTTTATTCTAGGAGGTGGTATAACCAAATCAAACATTTTTTTTCACGGTCCTACAACTTTGACTACCGGTCTTACAACCTCGAAAAGTCACAAAAATTCAACATCACAGAAATCTCGAGGGCTGTGCCCAGTCGCCTCGTTCCACAAATTTAAAAAGAGAGCTCAAAGACCGGAAGCTACAGGTCAGACCTCTAGAGGCTCGTGGATATCTCCCTCGGGCGCACCGGAGCCCCTGCACCCGGCCCAGCCTCAGGGACTCCATACGTGCCAACGGTCCTCGCGCACGCTCCACTCCTGTGCGACGCCATGAAGGGCGGGATTCTAGCGAGTACAGAAAGCCCATAACCAACAGACACTAGGTTGGACTCCCAGAGCGCCGCGGAGGTCACAAACCGGAAATCGGGAGCCGTGACAGTTCGCCGACATCCAAGTTCAGCCACCCGCGACATCTTCCAGCCCATGCAAGATCCGCTCTGTGGCCCTAAAACACGGCGAATGTAGCTGGGGGCTTCTCGGGGTCCTGCCTCGCAAAGCCCCACAGCCGGCGTTGGGTGTCCTCCGCAAATGCCGGGCCGGCGCTTTCATCGTCCAGCCAATTCTGCGCAGGCGTGGGACAGGCGGCCTATCAGCGCTAGCTGGCCAGGCTGAAGGAGCCGAACGCAGAACCAGCGATCAGGCCGAGAGGGGCGCGGGGCCTTGGCTCAGCAGGCTGGGCCTGACCCGAGGCCTCGGGACTCGGTTGTTGCGTGCTGCCCGAGTGTCGGCGTGATCCATGGGCAGCAGCCAGGGCCGCGATGACGGACTACAGCGAAGAGCAGCGAAACGAGCTGGAGGCTCTGGAGTCCATCTACCCTGACTCCTTCACAGGTGACGTTCGCGGTCCCTGGCCCCCGCCGCCTGTAGGTGGAGTGTTCTGCGGGCTCCCGGGCAGGGGAGACTGGGCCGCGCGCGGCCATGCTCCAGCCCTGCCGGCAGAGCCAGCCCGGCGGGGCCCCAAAACCCGACGGTCCGGGCGCCTGGCGGCGGAGGAGGACGGGGAGGTCCAGGAGACCGTCAGGCCTGCTGCTGGGATCGTGACCAGCGGCGGCCACACTCGAGCCACTCGTGTTCCTCCGGAGCCGCGAGGCTGTCAGACCTCACACTGTTGAGGTCGAAGATGTTTTGATCCGTTGCTGTGTGGGATTCCGAGTTCTGGTCTTAGAGCTACCCAGAATCAATTGGAGGGTGGCACATCTCTGGAAATCTGCATTTTTCTCTTCACTTTCTCTTCCTCCCTCAGCTCCCTCCTCCTCTTGGCTTCTGTCTCCCCCTCTTGTTCTTCGTGTTCTGGCCTCCTGCAGAATACCCAGGAGTGATGTGGCCCAGATTTCCGGGCCTTGTAGACTAGTAGGTTGTTAGTCTAGAAGAATGTTGGACGTCTGAGCCTCTTCTGCTACCGCTGGGCAAAGGAAAGCTCAGGGTGGGGAGAGGTTGGCTCCGGCTCCGCTGATGGGCAAATGTCAGGGCTGCTGCAGGGCTGAATCCAGAGCTCTTTTTTGTTACCTCACCTCCGAAGGATAGGGCTTGGGATCCACCGGGAAGTGACACGAGGAAGAGCACAGTGCTTAATAGGTCGGCCTCAGGCAAATTATTAAGGAGGATTTCATTAATATTTGTAAGGAAGAGAATTTTTCATGTTAAGCCATGCTTCCATTGATTCTCAAAGTGCTACAAGATCACCGTATCAATATAGTTTGTAAGGAAAAGTCTAAAGGGTATCTTCCCGTGAGTTCTGACCCTTCCTCACGTTGTTTCAACCTTGTAAAAAAAAAAAAATCCCTGTAGCCCCAATTAAGTCCTGTTTATAGAACAAACCATTTCGGGCCTCTTAGGCCCGCAGCCCTTCAAGAATGATAAACCTTAGGCAAACACGAAAGGATGAGTGACCGCAGACTTAAGATGGAGGACCTCATCCCAGAAAGGCTTCCAGCATCCTCATTCTCTGCTACCCCAGCTGCCCCGTATATAATAAACCCCTGACACTGCAAGACAGCTGCTCTGGTGCTTGGACCTCGCAGCCCCCTCTCAGGTCTTTATCCCAAATAAAGCCTGCACTGCGGGTCTTTCCTCTTTCTCTCGGATTTGAGAAGCCTATCAAGCCAGTAGGAGTCACACCTAGAGTTATGGACAATGAGTGGATAGGGCTTATATTCCCAGTCTCTTCCTGTGAGTGTTGTCATCACTGGTGTCAGAATCCAGTGTAAGGTCTGTTACTTTAAGCCTCCCATTTTCATTGTTTAGCTTAGTTTTTCTCCTCCTCCTTCTTCCTCCTCCTCTTTTCTTCTCTTCCTCCTCCTCCCCCTCCTTCCCCTCTCCCTCCTCCTCCTCCTTCACCTGTTGACCACCACTTGCCATGGTAGCAGATTTTGTCTTGCTCTGCCAACAGGCAGATATTTCTTACCTACCCCTGCACAGCTTCAGTCCTGTTCATGTTCTTTCACCAGGAGTACCCGCTGTCCTATGGGGATGTTCAGGGAATGTGTGAAGAGGGGCTTGAGAGTGTCATTATCTGAGGGAGTGTCTGTGTAGTCTGTTCCCTTCTCCATCCTTGCTTGTACCTTATGGTCTAACTAAGGCTATTAGAGTCAATAGTTGGAGATGTTCTTAATCATGTTTAGTCACTTCCAATATTTTGAAAATATGATAGGCATGAACACTGTAGGCAGAGGCAAGGAATCCTAGAATGTGCTGTTCTTTTAATTTCCAAAGGTATTATTAAGTATTGTGTTTGTGAACATTTATAAAAGTGATCTACTTTAAATCTTGACACATTCTGAGTATTTTCAGATTGTATTATACCTTACAACCCTACTGTAATGCATTATGTGAATTTCTGCCAGATATACAAGTGCTTGAGGATTCAAAACCAGGGTAATAAATGATAATTTATAAATAAAGATAAATTACAGTTTATCGCTTGGTGAAGCTGAGTATTTTGTAATTATCAATTAAACCTATGTCTAATTTCTAATTTCTATCATCATCCCTACAATCTTTGCAATACATAAAATAAAATGGCTGTATTTAGTTAGGGAACTTTGCTTTACTGTAAGTAATTACATTCTTTGTGAATATTCTTAGCGAAAAGGCAGAGAACTTGGCAATAAAATGTTTTCATGTTTGATCTTCAAATTTTGAGGTTTTGCAAAGTTTGCTGTTTTGTAGAGTTCTTTTGTGTTTATGATTTCATACTTTTATAAACTAAGAAATAGCTTGTCTTAGTTTGCCAAGAAACACTAATTTGGAGTTTTCTGACTTTGTTTCAAAACACATTTCATATTGGATTGGTAAATGTGTGATAAGTGATAAAGGATATATCCCCCCACCAATGACTGAGAACTTAAGAAAGAAACATTTGTTAAGCATTCATGACCACATGTTGGGTGCCAAAGAGGTACAGTTCTGTACCTCTTCCCACACAGATGGAGCCTAACCTCAGAATTAATCACTTTTCTATTTGCAAAGACTTTCTGGTCCAGTGTTGCATTTGTCATGAATTATAAGAAATCATAATAAAATTTCTTCCTTTTGCCTGTTCCGTAGCTTGATTGCACATTGATCCATCTTTCCTAACAATTGGTCTTCCAAAATTTAAGTGGACTCACCTGATACCTGATTCTTCTTCAGTAGTGCTTCACTTGACAAGGTCCTGCTAAGTGAACAAGGTGGTAGAATTTGATGATTTCCATTTCTCTGTCAGAATCTTTGGCTATGGTTGGAATTGGTTGATACCAGATAAATCCAAAATCAATGTCACTAATTCTGTCTACAATATCAAGAGTGGTATGTAACCCTCTACTTGCTAAGTCTCAGTTCTCTAAGTAGCCAGCATTAGCATTTAAGAGGTATAATTGTATTTTAGAGTAGAAGTCACCTTGTAAAAGCAGAGATGCTTTTTGTGAGGTCAGATACTCCATAACAACCAAAGGAATTTATTTTAATATAGGCTGTCTGGTTCTTTGTGAAAATGTAAGGTCATTTGTATATCTTATTAGCATGCCTTTTAGTTACTATCTCTGTTACCTCTCTTTTTGATAAAATCCTTTATTCTGTCTCACTGGTCTCTCACCTAATCTCTTTCCTGCCATTTCACTACTTCATTTCACTATACCCAGCAACTTTTCTTAAAAGTGTTTTGATCTTCTCACAGATGTGGAAGTCTGGCATCCACTACTTCATCTCAGCACCAGTGCATTAGAACGGAACTATTCCTTCATCTGAAATCCACTTTTGCAAATAGGGCTGTAGCCTGGGGTGAAGGCCTTGGGTTTGATCCCTAGTGCTAGGGGGAAAAAATTGCAGCAGCTCCAACTTAAGAGTTTCTAAGGTCTGAGGTTTCTTCAGACTTAACCTTCTGTCATCTGATTGTACACTCATCCTCCTAGTACAGGTAGCTGCACCATTCCCGTCATAGGCAGGAGGACAGACAGGAATAAAGAAAAGTGAAAGCCAGCAGAGTCTATGGAAATTGCCTCAAAACTGTTAAAGGACAGCACTGTTTCCATCTTCTTTGAACTGTTTAATGAGAATATAAGTGTGAATACTTGCTGACTGTCACAAGTGTAAGATATGCTTTACTAGAAATTTACCGTCATAGTTGTTGATTCTTTTAGTATTGTGACTTCATAATTCTTTATCAACCAAAACTTTTGATCTTCATTTCCTTCAGCCATACACTGGTATGGGTGCGCATTGGAAATCTCTAAAATTTTGGCCTCTGAAATTCTCCCTATTGTCGTTAGCCTTTGTAGACCCACAGTTCTTTTGTTCTTCTACTTTTATATACTTTTCAACATGATTTTCTCATGGGCTGGTAGTTTACCTGTTAAGATTTACAAGGTTGAGGCTTTTGGGAGGTGGCTGGATCATGAGCAGGTGATACTGGGTATGTTTATATGTGGGAGGCCAAGCCCAGTGGAAAGATTTGGGTCCCTGGCACTCACAGCTTCAAATGTATCCATACATGCATATCCCTTCTGTCTTGAGCATTGCTTCTTTCTGCCTGCCGTGAACTGTTTCATATGCAGTTCCCCTTGGCCATGCTGCCCTGCATTGAAGCCAGCTGAGTATAAACAAATACATTTTATGTTTTAATATCACTAAATTATGAACTTACCAATTACATGTCATAGTTTAATTGGCAGGTTTTTTCTTAGTACTAAAGTATATCTTATACTTGATGGTATCTTAAATTTGATGAACTGTAATAATAGCATAAATTCATGGTGTTGGTGTTAGAATTAAAGAATTTTTATGCAGATGTAGAGCATAGGCACAAGTGAAGCTCAGGAAATGTTTTACTCGGTGTCTTGGTCACTTTCTCATTGTGGGAACTTGTTACCCAACAGCAGAGGAGGAAAGGTTTACTTTGCTCATGTGTTTGAAGTTTCAGTCCTTGCATGATGCACCATGGTGGACTGGCCTAAGCAGAGGAAAGCTGCCCACCTCCTGGGGAACAGCCTGTCAGGGAACCACATCCTCTCAGGCTCCACCCCCAGGGACCTCTTCCAACCAAGCCCCACCTCCTGACAGCACCTTGGCTCTAAGCTCATCAATGACTATGTTACTCCTGTGATCCATTCATTTCCACAAGCCACACCTTGAGTATCTGAGTCCTGAGGGGGCATTTAGATATAAATCATGGCACCAGGTATAGGTAACCCTTGATTTACGGCCTTAGTGAGTTCTAGAAAATGGAGCAAGTAGAAATGCCATTGTGTTGAACCCTTAGTGACAGTATTTACAGTTCATATAAACGCTAGAGTTGGTCATGAAAAGAATGAAACACATGAAACATATTTTGTACGGGTTCATTAACAAATAGATACGACCAAGCATTATGTAAGCTTTCTTACAATGATCTTTCAGTGCTTTTTTACACAAGGTGGACCAAGTACAACACAGAGGCAATGGGTCATTCATACTGATGGCCAAAGACCTTTTTAGTGATTGTAGAAATTCCTTGTTTCAAGACCCTTAATTTCAGTTACATAAAATGAAAGCATCTGTCTGATATTGACAATATATATTTATGATGGTTTTGGAAGCTCCTGGGTAGTAGAATCAAATAGTCTCCATGGTGATAGTGATCCTGTGGTCTTTTATTTCAGAAACTCTGGAGTTGCGGCCAATGCTTTTCAGGTATGGAGCAAGGCAGAGGCTTTTTGCACAGGCTTAACAACTATCTGCAGTTTAAAACTTTCTGTTCACGTGGTTTGGAATGCAATTTCCTTTGCTTCTGGTTTTCTCTTCTCCCATTAGGTCAGTCCTTCTTTCATTAAACCAGTATTTATTGAGTCAACAAGGTCCTGCCAGGTACTGGCCTGGAGCTCTGGTTGCATTTCTGTAAGTCAGTGCTCTTGTGGAGCACATATGGAGTAGGAGAGAGACAGTTCAGAGACAGATACCGGCTGTAAAGTGATTTATGAGGATTGCTTATTTATGTAAATGTTGACTTACATGTCTTGATTATTGAATGGAAAGTAAATTGATGTTTACGGTCATAGTTAATTCCTTTTTTACTTTCATGAAAGATGATAACAGTTCAGTATTTGTGAAAAGATTAAGTTTGTCCACCTACAACGTAGAAAATAACAAGAAGGTACAAGTACAAAAGCCAGTGATAATGTGAGTCTCCTTGGGTAGGTGTCCAGTGCAATGTGTCAAATTTTGTCATTCTGATACTGTTGTTATTACTACTATTATTATGTTTTTTAGGAATCTTGTGTATGGGTAGAGATTTCAAAATAAATGGTAGACTACTTAATATTTTAATTGATTTGTAAAATGTCAAGAGAGTTATCCTCCACAGGTATTTCCAGCTTAAGGAATACTCTCACTTTAAATTGAATAGGTTTTATCATTGCAGTATCTGTTCGGTCTGTGTTTGTGGAAATGAAAACACAGGCTATGAATCAATTTCTAGAACTGAGAAGTGATGGATGTCTGCTTTAGGGGCCAGGATAATAACAGCTATGTTTATTTTCTTACAGTATTATCAGAAAATCCACCCAGCTTCACCATTACTGTGACGTCTGAAGCTGGAGAAAATGATGAAAGTAAGTGCCACCTAATACACTGAGTGTTATCTGAGCGCCGCCCCAGGGTTTCCCATCCTTCATGCTGGGCTGGCAGTGGTGGCTTTGAGGTGGTGCTCAGGCTCTATTGTGAGCAGTACCTACGGGTTCACATTCTGTGTTTACTGTGTCCGCATGACTCCTGGAAAAATGGAAGCTAAGGAGATACACTGCAGTATCTTCAGTTTTAAAAGTTAACAGGACAGTGGAAGATGGAGGTTTTTTTCCAAAATGACTTCTCATGCAGTCGTGTGGAATTCCATTAAGTATTATTTTTTTTATGGCTGTTTTCATTAAGATTGCTTACAAATAGTATGGAATACAACTATTGGGGGTTTTTCTCTCTTAAACTAGCAGTAAATTATCACCAATAAGTTAAAATTTAAAACACTAGCAAATTTGGTGAATAAGATACTGTCTTAAGTGCATGTCCAATGGCGTGTGAAATTGTTTCTTCCCCAATTTTTTCATATTAGACTGGTAAGCCAGAATTCTGTCAGGAACAATCAGCAAGAGTGAATTTTAATGCTATCGTGTGATAACTCTACATTTGTTTTGTACAACTGAAAATAAAGTTACCATTGAGATATTTTGAAATCTGAATGAAAAGGATGTTGCACATAGTTATTATTAAACTGATAATGAATATACTCTTATAGAAACATAGTATTTTGTAAGACATTAAAATACAACATAACTTTTATACTGACTTAATTATGTGGAACTTTATAGAGAAGGTGGTGGCATCATTTGACCTCCATCTGAGGCTGTGCTGTGTGCTGGAATGGTATAGTGGTACCTACTGGTAAAAATCCAGAATACCGTCTCCATTGAGATTGTACTGTTTTCATAAAAATTTAAAAATGTCTGGAGATCCTTCCCATATTCTGAACACTAACTTTACTAGGAGCTAATAATGACTTTATAATAGTAGTTCACATTTCATCATGACTGATTTGAGAATGCTTTTTAAATTTGTTTGAAGTGAGTCTTCTATCATACTGTTTCCCCCCACAAAATTAACCAGGTAGTAGAAAAGCTAGCAAACAAGTGTATAGTGTCTAGAGGCAGCATTATAAATTATCATAAAACTTAATCTCAGTAGCAATTAAAAAAGAGCAAATAAAATGGAAATATCATTCTTTTTCATCCAGCAAATTATCATCCTGATGAGAGACAGCGAGAGAGCACTGTGATGTTAGGAGCAAGGATAAACTGACAGGCATGTTCACGATGGCCACCTGATCACTAAACAGGAGACTGAAAACTTTCCAGGTCCTTGTTGGCCATATACTTATGGAGTATTTAGGCTAGGAAAGATATTGTGATTGTGTGATAAAATACACAAAAGGGTTTTAATGTAATTGTTTCTATTTTACCCAGTGAATGGTGCATGCTTATAGAAATATGCTTGCATTTAATATTTAAGACATATGCTTCTATTTAATATTTAAGAAATTAGATATTCATGTTATATTTGAAATTATTTACCCTTGTAATTCTGTATTTTGTTTTATTTTAATTTGATAATTATGTGGTACAATGTGATATTTTGTTACATATATGTAGTGTATTATGGAATGATTAGATCATATACATAGTATCATGACTATAATTAGAAATACTCTAATTTATTTTCATAAAGACATACTGTATTTTTAAGTACAGCTCTTAAGATTTTTAAAATGAACATACCAAAATAGGAACAGTGAGTCTTTCCTGGTGGTGTAATTATGTGTAATATTTTCCCTTGTTGTAATGAATGTCTAGGACTGCTTGCTGTAGAATAAATGTTATTTAAAAATACTTTTGAAACAGTTAAACATACTTATAGAGTCCACCAAAAATATATATATGAGGAAAAGAAAAACTTGTATAAATATTAAATTTATTTTTTAATTATCTTTTTTTTTGTACTGGGGATTGAACTCATAACCTTGTGCTTGCCAGGTAGGCGCTTATTCCACTAAGCAAAACATAAATTATCTTTGTTTGTTAGTATAATTCAGGTATATACAATGGTCACCTTTATCATAGGGAGTTTGTACCTGTACATGATACAACTTGATTTGAGCCCCCCTTCCTCTCTTCTCCAGCCCCTCTTGGCCTCCATATTTACAAAGTTTTTGTTTCCATTTTACCCTCCTATTGTCATTTTTCTTTTCCTTTGTCTGCCCCCACTTCAGTTTCCCCTTTCCCTTTAAACAGCTTCTTACCATTTCACCTTATCTCTTGTACAATCTGTGAGACATGAGATTAATTAATACAAGTTACCCTTGACCTCGACAATTACAGGAGCTGCTGAAAATGGTTGCTCCTAGGCATTTATTAGTATGCTGAACGACCGAAGTGTGTATACATTTTATGGTCCAAAATAGATGTACGTATTCTGTCTCTCCAGTAGTTAAACTGGTCTTGAACTCACTATGTAGTGAAGCTAGCCTGGAACTTGAGGTGATTCTCCTGCCTAAAGAACATGAAGCAGGTAAACTGTAAAACCAGGAAAGGCTGCTAGTTTAATAGTAAGATGTTTCATTAAATCTACCTCTTTATCTTTTTGTAGTGGTACATGCAATAGTAATTGCTTAGCAGGTTTTAGTTATGATGCATGGCCCGAGAGCACAGCTCAGTAGTCGCTGCTTGCCTAGCATGTCCAAAGAAAGCTACCATCTCTAGCTAGTGCTGGGGGAAAATTTAATCATAGTGACCATGCTATATACCCCAGCCAGTTTGCCATAAGATTTGTGCTGAGTGTGGAGCTGAGCTGGGCCTTTGGATGTGGGGACCGGACTGGTCTTTTTCTGCTGGAGTTCTCCAGAGTCCAGCTGCTAGCTCTGTAAGGCTACATTAGACACTTTTAGACACCGTGCTTTGCCGGTCTCTCTTGATTACTATCCCTACCGAAGGCCTGCGTGTGCCTGCATACCCAGGGCTGCCATGTCTGGTATCTCCGTGTAGTTACCGTTTTGTATCACACATATCCAGAGTTTATTCATCCCACTTAAAAATGTATCTCGTGAAGAGCATCTCTATCCCTGTCAGTTTGCAGATGCGGTTGAAGTGAGCCCATCCCTGTAACTCGCTAAGTCTCATCATTCATTTACCTTAGTGTTCTCTGCTTTTTTCCTTACTGTTTCATTTGTCTTGTCTGTTGGTTTTCTAGACTGTACTGTATTTCATTTTTTCTCCTCTGATCTTTATTATTTTTTTCTCTTTGGCTGATTTAGTATTTGAGTAGGGTTTTCCCCCTACTTTCCTAAGGTATAAATTTGAGTTGTTCATTATTCTTTTCCTTTTTGATGCTGGCATTTATTGCTGTGAACTTCTCTCATAAAACTGCTTTTGCTACAACCTATAAGTTTGTGTGTGTTGCACTTCCATTAGTGTTCGGCTTCAGATACTTTTGATTGCCTTTCAATTTCTTCACTGATGAATTGATTGCTCTTATTGCTACAGCTAAGCGTAGAAGGAAGAGGGGAGAGATACTGGCCAGCGAGTACTTAGGTTCACTATGCAGGATGAATAAGTTGTGATTTTGTTCTCATCACACCTACAAAAAGTTAAAGCTAGAAGGTAATGGTTCTATTAGTTAACCTGACAGCGCTAATCATTTCGTAATATATGTGAATACTATGTCATACATGTAATTTTTATTTGTCAAGTATACCTCAGGAAATCTGGACAAAGAAAAAATTAAGAGCTCATATTTTAGCAATAAAATCAGAAATATGATAGTAAAGGGAGGTAGAAAAATGCCAGAAGACACTATATTTATTCCTTGCTCACCCTTGACAGTCTTTTGCATTTATTGACTCATAATGTTCTTTATGAACATCATAAATATATAAGATATGATACATATAACAGCAATGTGCAGCTTTTGAGGCACCACTTAATCTCGTGCATGAAGAGCAATATGGATCTGAGTTACCACGTCAGAATCAACAGGCTTTAAGAAGTAGATTAGGAACCGGGTGTGGTGGCTCATGCCTGTAATTTCAGCACTTGGGAGGCTAAGGCAGGAGGATCTTTGCGAGTTCAAGACCAGCCTGGGCTACAAAGTGAGCTCAATGCCTGCCCGAACTGCATAGAGAGCCTGTCTCAAAAAAGACAAAAGAAAAAAAACGAAGTAGATTAGGGCACTGTGACTGATGGTCTTCACAGATGTCAGCATTGCTGCATAGTGTCCGGCTGTCTGATGGCACAGAGAACTCTGTGGCCGAGCGCAGAGAGACTCCTGGCACTGATAACGCGCATAAGAACGTCCTCTACCCAAGTGCTAGATCTGTAAATTGGCAGATACCATCTCAAACTGCCCAATTCAAGACCGTGTTATCTCACCACCAGCCGGCAATATCCTGCTGGCAGTGTCAGTACAGTTCCAGGAACACAGCCAAATCATAGACAGCTCACAGGGAGTTTTGGTGGAGACTGAAAATGAGCTTGTGGTAGTACTTTTCCAGTGTCTTATATTGACTGCTTTTTGTTGCTGTTACGGATTTTTTAAAAGTAGCTTTTGTCTCTCCTTTGCAGAAATAAAATAGAGTAACAGGCCAGTAGGTGATAAATGTGTTTCAGCTGTGAGAAGTGACATTTGGCGTTCCCTTGATTTGTTTCACTTACTGTTCAGGAGGATGTGTTGTTTATATCAGTGGTTATATACCCGATCTCTTAGCATCCTTCAGTTTTCTTTGTAAGAAAATCTGCTGAGCTACTTTTCATTGAACGATTATAAATTAGTGAGCCAACAAAAAAATACTCATCTTTATACTGTCAGTGTACTCACATCACTTTTTTGTCCTAGCTGTCCAGACTACCCTCAAGTTTACATACAGTGAAAAATACCCAGATGAAGCTCCTCTTTATGAAATATTCTCCCAGGAAAATCTAGAAGATAATGACATCACAGACATTTTAAAATTATTAGCATTGCAGGTAAGGGAATTGCAATTTTGTTCTGCAGTGGCCTTATTTCTTTTGTCTTAAATGTATGCATTTAAGGATTGGAAAATGCTGTTAATTCTGTGTGAATAGTATATTGGCAAGCAGAATTCATAATGTGCGATCACAGCGTCCTTTTATTTTCCTGTCCCTTTCCCAAAATGAATAGTGAAAGTTGCCCTAGTGCTCCTGTCTATTCACTGTCTGAGAGATGAAAAGCTCCGTTCACACAGGTATGGTTTAGCTGTTAGATGTCTGGTCCCATGGCGTAGCTAAAAATTCTAACTTTAAGAAAACTGGGTTAAATTAAAACTGATACCTTCATTCTTGTTGCTGGGCCGGTTGCCTGCAGAGAACTGTGACGGAGTGTTCTGTTTCTTTTCTCCATCTCTTTCCTTAAACTTGCAGACCCCATTCGCTCGCTTGTGACCCCTCTGAGAAGTGAAGGTTGTGCAGACTGGAGAACGGGTATCAGGAAGTTCTTTGCTGCACTAGGTCCATTATGCTGTGGGCTACCCACACCTGTGCTTGATAGGTAGTTCACGTGTGCTTGAGTAGTGGCGTTTACTTTGAAATTTAAGGGTAGGGAGAAGGGAGGTGTCTTAGTATTTCATTGCTGGAACAAAATCCCTGATTCCCACAGGTCAGAGGAGGAGAGGTTTATTTTAGCTCATAGTTATAGAGGTTTTGGTCCATAGTTGTCTGATTCCACAACAGGTCAGCAGTATATATAATTTGCCATGGTAATATGAGTTTGTGGTGTGTAGGGCAGGAAACAGTGAGACGTCCTCCATCCCATCCTTTTCATTCCATTTAGGCTGCAAGCATGTTGGTTGATGTCACCCATACCACTTCCTCTTCAGTGAGTCTATCATCCATGTCCAGAGCTCCGCTAAACCAGTCAGTGGATCAGCCCAGTATCACATACCAGGATCCAATTATTCCCGAAAGCTCTACAAGTGCATGAGGCTTTAGGGGAACATGTAAACCTCAGCCATAACAAGGAAAATGAAGGCCCTGTTCCACTGTGTTAAAATCTGAAGCCCTAGTAGTTTGTTTTTAACAGTCTCTACCTTTGCTGTGACTTGCACATTCTTGGGATTGGTGGTTCTCTGAATGTTGATTTTGTAACAAAAATACCAGGAGCTGCTAGAGAAAGGCTTGAAAGTCTGTCCAGCAAGAATCTCTGAGGACGCTTGGCCCTGTTCACTCTATTACATAGCATGAAAGTATAATCTGGCTTTACGTTTCATTTGAAACACTGCAGGAAACCTGAGGTTGTTACTCTAGTCAATCACTTAGTCTGATGATTCAGTCTGAGTGAATTTTTCCACCTGTGTTTGTAATCTCACTTCAAAAAGGTCTTTTTTTTTTTTTTTTTTCGTTTTAGTAGTACTGTAGATTGAACCCAGGTTCTTCTCACTGAGCTACATACCCAGCTTTTTCTTAGTTTTTATTTATTTACTTTTTAATTTTGAGACAAGGTACCTCTAGTATCCAAGCTGCGTTTGAATTTGTTATCCTTCTCCCTCAGCATCCCACAGTGCTAAGAATACAAGCATGCACGACCAAGCATGGCTTCAAAAAGACATTTTTAATCTCTTTAGCAGTTTCCTGGGATAAAAATATACAGAAGCAATGTTTATACTTTTTCTCCAAAAACAAGATTATCTTTCAGTTACTCAAATAATTTATATCCTAAGAAACTCAAAACTTAGGAAGACACGAAGAAGAAAATAACAATTACTCTTAATAATATTTGCTATGGTAATGTCAGATTTACCTCCCTGCATTTATGTAGGTAGACCCACCTCCCACCCCATCTTCATTTAATGTTTTATAGCACTCTTGTATAAGAATGTGCATAAACATATATGTGAATCGTTGGTTTCAATAACTATATACATGATTCTATATCTTTTTTTTTTTTTTTTGGGGTACCGGGGATCAAACTCAAGACCTCATGCTTGCCAGGCAGGCACTTATGCCACTGAGCTAAATCCCTGACCCCTAATGATTCTTTATCTTTTAAAGAACAACTTATAATGCTGATTTTTGCTTTGTTATCTAATTCTTTCAACATTCTTATTTATATATTACCACTTGTAAGTCTTTAGAACAGTCCTCTTTTGTACCTCCAGTGCCTGGCACATGAGAGATACTCACATATTATTAAATAAGAGAAAGGAATGAATCCCTGATTAGTGTACTAACCTGCCTTTTCAAGAGTAGGATTGCTGAATGAAAGTGCACAGCTACTTTGCAATTTCAGATATCTTCCCAAATTGATCTTCCAAATGATTGTGCTACTTTCCAGTCTCCCCATAGTCACTGCAGTGTCTATTTGATGCCACTAATGGATAACATTAGATAATTTTCACTTAAAAATGAAACTGATAAAATGAACACAGTATGTAGTTATAATTTTGATGTAAAACTAGTATGACTGCTGAATTATTCAATTTTAATGCACAAAGAGATTGTTTTCCAAGAATGCCCAGTTACACACCATTAATTGAATGAAAATTTGAAGGTGAAAAGTGATGGAGAGAGAGTGGTTACTTCACTCTTCAGACGACTTGCCTACAGTGTTTTAAAAATGTCTTCTTGATCCTCACTAGCAGAGTAGCCTGTGCTGAGTGTGGGGCAACATCTCTAAGTTTAGGAATCCAGAGACTGGGCAGGGGCTCCCATTAGTTGGAAGCCAGCCTGAACTACATAGCAGGACCCAGTCTCAAAGAAACAGAAGCTTCGTGGTGTGTGTGGCGGAGGGAAGTTGCTCATGTCATGCAGCCAGGAAGCCTGAGAGAGGAGCTCCTCTGGGTCGTGACCCTAGTGACCCGCCTACCACCTCACTCCAAGCCTGCCTGCCCCACCCCCCAGCATGTCCGCATGCACAAGGCCTTGGGGGCATCTAGTTACAAATTACAACAGTGCTGTGGGACCATGCAGTGAGGGCTGGTCCTAGGGTGTGGCAGTCAGGAGTGGGGGTGATTGGCATCCTCTGCGCCCTAAAGAGAACCCCCTAAAAGAATTACAGAAGCTGACCTGAACCCGATCCACTCAGAGGCCCGCAGGTGCAGTGCCTGCTCTGTTGTTTATGGCGGAGGCCAACCTCACCAGACAGAGGAGTGCTCAGACCTCCTGTTTCTGGACTGGGAGTGTGGCACTGAGTTTTGCAAAACCCTTTTTGTCTATTTTACTCTGTCGGCGACACCAGTTTATGGTAGTCTTTTTGTTATATCCCTTTCAGGAGGTGATGCATTTATATTTGCTGTAAACATTTCAGATCTAAGCAAAATACATAAATAGTAAAGTTAAGTAACAAGAATATCCACATTATTATTGTAATGGATGAAAAATTCTTTCAGGCATCCAAATTCAGTTCACTATGACAACTTCTAGTTCTCAAAAAAGCTATCATACTGAAGATGAGCTAGAAAACATGTTATATGTTACTATATAGGAAATTGTTCTCTGAATTGCATCTGTATGACTCCTAAACAGAATCTACTAAGTGAGAATTATTTGTGTTATATTAGGTATTTCAGATTAAATGATTTGTAAAATAAAATGTTCATTTATACACACTTTATAAATGAGCCAACTGAACACTGATTATGTGGTGGTTATAGAAACACATTTTTCATTGGTGAGTTTTTCTTTAAGAAATTTGTTTCCTCTACCTATCTTGTTACATAGGCTGAAGAAAATCTTGGTGTGGTCATGATCTTTACTCTAGTGACGGCAGTGCAAGAAAAATTAAATGAAATAGTAGACCAGATAAAAACGAGAAGAGAGGAAGAAAAAAAACTAAAAGAAAAAGAAGCAGAAGAAGCAGAGAAGGTACATTTACAAGACTTGTTTCCTTTCATTATCCTTTAAATCTTTTATATTAGAAGTTGTATTTTCTTTTTTCTTGGGGGAAGTTTCAATAAATTTTGAAATCACAGTAGATAGAAATTTTTGTAAAGTTGTACTGTGTAAGACTTTAGAACACATGTGGTGGGGCATGCCTATAATCCCAGTACTCGGGAGGCTGAGGCAGAAGCGTTGCTGCTATTTTGAGACCAGTCTGGGCTACAAAGAGTTCAAGACCAGTCCAAACTGCATGGTGAAACCCTTTCTCAGAAAGATAGAAACAAAAACAAAAAGCCGAAAATCTGTCATGGCTGTGATAATCAGGGTAGTAAAGCTCTAGCAAGTAAGAGTGAAAAATATAAATTACTTAGTCTGTGGTGCCAAGTTTAAATTTATAAAGCCTTTGGTACAGTGATCTAAATAGAGACGTTTTCTCTACATTTGCTATTTAGATGCAAATGTAGAGAAAACGTCTCTAAAATGAATTGCAAAACAGTGATTTAATGTTAGAAGTCAGTGTATGTTCAGAACATTCATAATGACAGAGACTTGCTTCTTACTGGTGAAAGCCCTTTGAGCACAGTGTTGGGGTACATTTGTTTCTTGTGAGAAGAGCAAAACTGGGCTTTGCTGGAGCTCCTCCTCAGCACCAGTGAGAAAGGCAGTGCAGGCAGAAATTGTGAGCTGTTTCAGCTTTAAACGTCATTTTCTGTTTCTTACAGAAAAGTGGTCTGTTTGTCTAGGACATACTCTTCTGCTTTACTTGTTGAACTGCTGCCTTGCTAATCTAGTCTCGTGCCTTTTTTTAATTTGCTAAGCAATTATTCCATGGCACCCCTGTTACAATTGAGAATTTCTTATGTTGGAAAGCCAAGTTTGATGCAGAACTCTTGGAAATTAAAAAGAAACGGATGAAAGAAGAAGAACAAGCAGGAAAAAGTAAACTGAGTGGTATGTCCTCTCCTGCCCTGTACTTTGCACCATAGCCCCAAGCCCTGTGTTGGGTGATCAGAGGACCACTTAGCCGGCTGCGTAGGAACAAATGGTATACCTGGGTCTTGATGGCAAAAAGATAAAACGTGTGTACACAGATGATTCATAGTTAATTTTGTAACTTAGCTTTGCAATACATTGCAGTTAGTAGATCCTCAGACAGAAAGATATTCAGGGTCATAGCCCTAGAAGTAGTGAGTCAAATCCCATTTTTTCTGGGACTCAAGGCGGAGGAGGTTTTCACTTGCATTTTAATATGAATACATGCCCCTAGTGGTGGAGGAAGTTTTTCATTTTATAGAAATTCTTGTGAAAAATAGATTTCCAGACTTGTTTCCTTGAGTTACTACATTTTTAACAAGTGGTTTTAGGGAAGGCAAATACTGTGCCATTTGGATTAAAGTCTGCTTATTTCTTCTAGGCAAACAGCTGTTTGAAACAGATCATAATCTGGACACCTCTGACATCCAGTTCCTAGAGGATGGTAAGGTGCTTTTAGAATTGCATTATGTATACTGCACTGTGTTTAACTTTAGAGGCTAGTGTGGACAGAACGACCTGTTATTACTGCTTTTAATTGGCTTAAATTAACAAAAACTGGTAAAACATGTTACAGAAGTAAAGCATTCTATTCAAATATATCTGTTCAAATGTATGAGTTGATCAGCCGTCAGAATTTATAAACTGTATTTTTTAAACAGTCTTGAAAGGCAAGATTTACCTTAAATGAAATTGCTCTGTTTCTAGTTCAACTCTGAGCTATAGTCTGAAGAAGATAATCAGTTCTGTCTTTGTGGGGCCTACATGTGCTTTGGAGGGGGCTCAATACTTGGTCCCACCCCTGCTGACACCTTAGAGAGAGCTCTGTGTCTCATTCACCATGTGCAATGTCTGCTTTCCCTGTTGGAGATCTGGTAGCTTCTGGTCTATCCGTTTTCCTCTGGGTTATCTGCTAGAGAAGATTAAGAAGTAGTGTTGAGAAGGCCCACTGTTGAGTCCTTCTTAAAGGAAGCTGGGCCCCTTACTGCTACTCACCCTCTCCCTGTCTCTCCTTCCCTCTCTTCCTTCCTTCCTTCCTCTTTTGATGCAGTGCTGGGGATCAAACCCATGGCCTTGTGTATGCTAGGCAAGTGCTGGACCACTGAGTTACATTCCTAGGCTTATTATATTCTCTGCAGCATCTGTAGTAAGATTCTTGTACAACAACAAAAAAATGTCAGTCAAAACCCAGCAAGATGTCCTCTTCTATTTTAGTAAGAGATTCTAACCCTAAAAAGCTTCACTTCTGTTTTTCTTGTGCATTGCCAGTTTTAATCTTTGCCCTCGTTCTTGACTCAGTTCTCTCGCTAGTGGATCATGTATCTTCATTCCAAGGAAGTTGTTAAACGATGCTCATTAATTCTGCCTCTGAGATACCTTCTCAGCAGTTTCTTCTATCTGAAGGTTTTGTTATTTTTGCTGAGATTTTTGTGTTAATTTATTAAATTATTTCCCTATACTCTTCTTCCTTTTAATGCCCTTATTTACAGTATTTTACAGTTGTGGCCTGTGATGTAGTATTTCTGAAACCCATATTTTACCTTTTATATTACTTTGATTTTGACTGCTTAGAAAAGAAGACTGATGTACATTCTGGTCCTCATGTCTTAAACTATCCTAGGTAATTTTCTTCAAGTCTCGTCTTCCAGTTAGAAATCAAGAGCTCATCCATTTCCTCTGCTGTTGTGTGTCCTTCTGCCTGGACTTGCTTCATCCATTCTGTTTTCTTCTTAGTAGGTGTGAATTTATCCCTCAGGCATTTTAGACTTCATCTGCTTTGTGAATCTTCCACTGCCCACCTAAGAGGCAATTTCTCTTTGACTTATGCTTAGTGTATTGTGTTTTTATTGCTGAACTTCTCAGAGGCACTGGAAAGGACTTATTCTCTTTATATTTTCACTTAACTGAATTTCAGTAAACTCCAGTCTGAGAAGAAATTGTGCTAGCAATTCTTGTCAGTCAAGAGTGCTGAAAAATCTTACTTTGATCTACTTCAGATAAAGACTAACAGCTAAATACAGAGCTTGGTTACTGCCTATAGTGATTAGGTATTTGGAGGGTCATCTTGTTGGTGAGAAGCAGAGTTGGGTAAGAGTGAAGGTAAAATTAAATACCTCAGTGCAGCAACGTTGAGCTTTAATGATGTGCACACCTGCAGCTATCGGGAGTGATAACCGCAGACACAGGCCTAGTGATAGCAGCTCTATAACCAAAGCAGTGTGCCATCACCATTGTGTTCAGCCTGCATCAGGCCACACTGTAAGCAGTCATGCTGGCAGCTGTTTTAGTAATCAGAATCTTAGTCTGAAATGGAAGAGTGAAGTTGCTCGTAATGCCTGAGAATCTCTGCTGACCAAACCAGGTGAGATTTGCATTAGTGACTTGGGATTCCATCGTTTGCAGCTCACACATGTTTAGAAGTTTCTGCTTGGTATTGTCAGTGACTTGTGTCTTTCAGCCCCTGATAGAAAACTAAAGGGGAATTTGTTTTTCCTTGCACAGCTGGAAACAATGTGGAGGTAGATGAGTCCTTGTTCCAAGAAATGGATGACTTAGAACTGGAGGACGTTGAAGATGACCCGGACTACAATCCTGCGGATGGGGGCAGTGACTCCACAGAGTGACAGAGTGGCTCTGTCTCCAGAGAGGCCCAATGGCCACAGCATCTGTGGCTATGCCGAGAGGGTTTTGATTTTCCTTGCTTTTTTTTCTAAGAAAAAAATGATTTTCAGGAGAATATTCTTCTGATAACTTTCATCATCGAACCTAATAAACTGACCGTAACAGCACTTTCTGTTGACTTCCTCTTTTGGGGGACAGAAGATTACATGTTTACCATTGTTTAATGCTGGAGAGAGACCCTGTCTGTAGCACCAGCACTCAAAGGTGGGCTGCTTCTATGTACGGAAGGAAGGGGGTTTATGCAGAAGGAATGGGAATAATTTGTCATTTCCATCCAGAGAAGATGAAGGTTACATTTGAATTCCAAATGTTGTCCTTTGTATAAAGCATTACAGTACTGAGATACATAAATAGAAAATTTTACCTGGATTCTAACCTCTTAACACAGTAAATTTAAGTTTTAACAGAAGCAGAAGCCCAAATTATAGGTAAGAATAAAGTGGACTTCATCACTATAATGAATGCAGGCTTTTGGTGTTTATAAAAATTGTATGCTCCTATAGTGCTTCTCGGGTTAAATTTATGAGCCCTTGTCTGAATTTTAAAAGTAAAATCTGTTACCAGTTTTTTAGGTCATTTTTTCTCTTCTGCTGTTTTATGTTATCTTTTTCATTTGATATAGTTAATACGTATTTATCATACATAATGATCACATTCATCGTAGGAAACTTGTACCTGTACATAACACACTTTAAATGATTTTTCCCATTCCCCTCCCTTCCCTTCTAGCCTTCCTCTCCCCATTTAAAAGATTGCTTTCATTTTTTTCTTCTATTCTCTTTCACATCCATTTTTCTCCCTTCCCTCCCTCTACCCACTCCTTTGTTCCCTTTCCCATTTGAACATGTTTTTCCTGCTTTCCAATGTCTGTCGTCCATTAAACCCCTTATTTATTCTTTGGATTTCTTACACAAAAGAAGCAGTGCAATATTTAAACTTGTGTGTCCAATTTATTTCACTTAAGATTATGGTCTCAAGATGTATCTGTTTATCTAAAATGGCTCAAATTTATTCTTTTTTACCGAGGAGTAGTACCACATTTCTTCATTCATCTTGTGATGAGCTTGTGGGGTATTTCCAAGATTTAACTATTATAAATGGTGCTGATGTAAATGTGGATATGCATATATCACTGTGCTATGGTGCTTTTAGCTCTGTGAGGAAAATACCTAGAGAGGGAATAGCCAGGTCCAGTGGAATCTGTAGTTTTTTGAAGAATCACCATACAGTTTCCATAGTAGTTGTATCATTTGTGCACCATCAACAACAGAGGTGGTCTCTTTTTTTCGCCACAGCCTGACCAGCATTTGTGACTGATTAATTTCTTGATGATAGCTATTTTATCCAGAGTGAGATGGAATCTCAGTGTTTTTTAAACTTGCAATTCTTAAATGACCAGTGATGTTGAACGTTTTCCCATATATCTGTTTGCTGTTTGTACTGCTTTGTCTGAGAAGTATCTGTTCATTTCAGATGCCCATTTTTGGACTGGGTCTTTGAAGTTTAGGGCATCTGATTTTTTGTTTGAATTCTGTGTTGTAGACATTGGTTGTTTTCCTGAGGATTAGCTTGAAAAATTTTTCCCCATGCTGTGGATTGTCTTTTCACTTCCTTGCTAGTTTCTTTTGCTTTGCAAAAGCTTTCTAATTGGATGTGATCCCAGTTGAAGAAAACTTTGAAGCCAGTAGCGAGTAAGGAGCGCTTCTGGGGTAACTGCCAGCACTGTCTCCCCAAGCCTGGGCAGCTGGGTTTCCAGGGGGCACCCGCCACTTTCACAGAGCTGGGCACATGCCTCTTAGGGAGATCACTGTGTAGATCATGCTCTTTACATATTGCACATCTGGGTATAATAGGGAATTTAGCATTATAACACGTGCTTGGCTTTTTTTTTCCAGTATGGTAGATTAAACCTGGGATCCTTGCACTGTGCTATATCCTGAACCCTGTCCCCCTTTTTTATTGTTTTTAGAAAGGGTCTGTGTTGTCCATGCTGGACTTGAACTTATGATCTTCCTGACTCAACATCTTAGAGTATTAGAATTAAGGTTTGCATAACTCGCCTGGTTCCCGGTGTGACTGTAACAAAATTTAGTCTCGTTTGCCTATAAGGGGCTGTGCAGTTTGGGCTGCTTTAAGGCAGTCCCGTGTTTGTCCCCAGAGGGCTTCATCTGAGGTCAGTAGCCAACCTGAAGAGATACCAGCAGTCAGCACTTTTCCCCCTCTACCCCAGGAAGCATGGTGCTTAATCCTGTCCTTGCTGCCCAGTGGCTGACTACACTGCAGAAGTCTGGAGGGACCCTCTAAGGTCCAGAGCGAGGCAGTTTTCCTGACTTCTGGTCCCTTTGGCATCCTCGTCCTCCCAGGCTCTTCTAACCAGCTGCTTGGCAATAACTCTGAGACCCCAGCTCCAGAGGACTTCAGTGGCCCATAGCCCTAAAGGCCCTGCGCTGATCCCAGCCTAATGACCAAAGCCCTCGTGATGGGCATTTGTTCCACTTCCATCCACTCTTGTACCTACTGCCCAGAGCATAGAGGTTCTCAGCTGTTCTGCCCTAGAATGGGAACACAACACCCCAAGCCACGGATGTGGTCTTCCCAGGCACACTGGACCGACTGGCATGCTGGGTGTCATTCACTGGGGACATGGACAGCAGTGTCACTTGCCCCTGTCTCACACAGTGCAGCCCCGCACCTGGGTACATTGTCTCTTCTGATTCCCTGTGCCTGGCAGTGGCTGTAGAGGCTGGCTGCTGTGACATGCGGTACCCTGTTGCAGCTGACACTGAAGATGGGGGGAGTCCACAGAGGGCTTCTCTGATGTATATGAGTGCAAGGCTTTGTGAGCATCTGTGTGGCTTTCTTGTGATGCCCAAGCAAGATCCCTGCTATAGGCGCTGGGTCAAAGTGGGGAACAGTGAGCCCTGGGTGCCTCTGGTGGCCCAGTTGGACATGTAGGGGCCACAGACTGTCCCACTGCTACCTGCCCAGGACACACCCATACTATGTTTTTCTGTTCTTCCCCTGCCTACCCTTCCCTTCCTAGCCCCTTCCTTGTCCCCCCAAAACCCACAGGCCCTAGGATAGGATCACAAGAGGAGGAGGCTGCATGTGCTATGCTCCTGGCTGTCACCCAGCAGGTACGGAGCCTGGAAGAATCAGGGTTTAGACCTTTGCTCAGTGCCTTTTTCTGTTTGTTTGGTTTTTTCCCTCCATTCCTTCCACATCCTCTTCCTGTCTCCTCCTCTTCCTGTCTCTGTCCTCTCTTCTTCCCAGTGCACACGGAGGGCCTTGTGCTGCACATGCCTGGCCTGGGGATTGCTGTACACCCCGTCCCTTTGGCCCATGGAGAAGCCAGTTCTCCAAGATCTGTTGTCAGATCAAGTTGGAGCTAACGTGCTGTGCCCTTGGTCCAGAGCCTTAGGTTGAGGCCACCAGGGCCCCTGTTCTTGGCTTATGGTGGCCTCAAGTGGCTCCCAGTACTGGTGTTCTCAAAGGGACTTGGTGCTCACAACTGGGAATTTGAGGTCCAGCTGGAGACCCCTTGCCATAGAGCAACCCAAGTGCCAGTCCAACCGCGGGGTCTGTGTGTACTACACATTCACATGGACACTGGGGGTGACAAGTTTGGATCCCCATGTGGCAGAATGCAGTTGAGCACACAGGATGTGGCTTCTGGGGGACAGGCAGAATTGTGCCTGGCTGAGGAGCCCGAGTGACTGCTGAGTGTGTAGCTGGGCCCTCATTCAGGGTACACAGCTCAAAGGAAAGTAAGAGTACACCAGACCAACTGGGTCTGGGGACACAGTGTTTCCAGAAGGGCTACCCAGTAACGACAAGGATGAGATCATAGGTGTTGTCTAGCTTCATTAGAAGACCTGGAGATGAGGATAGGCCTGCAGGCGGCATGTCTCGGGAGCCCCTGGATGAGGAGGATCCAGGGCCCACCATGAGTGGTGCTCAGTCCAGTTCTGGCCCTCAGGTGAGGGGTCCCGGCCTGGGGCTGTCTTCCTTTGCTTGGGCTGAAGACCCGGCAGTTGCCAGGCTGCCCCTGCTTCCTCACCTGGCCTGCACGCTGGTGCCAGAGTCCCACGGCCAGGAACCCAAGACCCAGGTAGTTGTAAGGCTGACAAGGTGAATGTGTTGGGAAGGGACAGGTGTCTGCAATCAGTAAGGGGCAGCTGTGTCTTGCGCTGTGGCGTGGGGTCTCCATGTGTTTTCCCTCTAGGTCACCCTGACACTGGGAGACATGTGTACAGCAAGCTTCCTCTAAGGTGCCTGTCATTCTTCTCTGTCCCGCCCCTGTCCTCCCCACAAACACTTCCTGGGAAGCTGTGTGTATTCCCCAGGTTGGATACGTGTCTTTGGAAGCCCTGCCTAACCATCTCCACCCTGACCTCTGCACACCAGCACAGTCTGCAAAGCCTCTTGGGAAAGGCGTGGGGGTGGAGAATGCCCAGGCCTTTCTTGAGAGCAGTTACAGAGGGGGAGGGGCATCTCCAACTGTCACTTCAGTCCCACCCTGGACCAGAGAGGGGACAGCAGTTTCAGTCCCATTGCTAGAACTGGGGCTTGAGGGACCTGAGCACAGGTGTGAAGCAGGTGGGGGAGACTGAGGACTCCTTGAGAAGATTTGCCTCAGTTTGGTTTTCACTTTCTCTTCCATGACTCAGTAATCACAGAGTATTGGGAAAGGGAAGGTTCGCCTGTCTCCCCTAAAGATGAGCTGCTTTTGGAGTCTCTGACAGCAAACAGCCAGCTCTATTTGGGTCTGCACAGGATTGTGTACACAAAAAAGGTTCCATCATGAAAATGCATGTTCTTTTATACCAAGATTGGCCACAGCAATCCCAGCAGTGTGGAGGTGGCTTCAGGCAGTGGGGCTTTGTGTTTGACTGGGTCAGCCTGAGGCACCCTGCCCTGCCGTTTACAGGTCTCAGTTCTGTGCCAGCCTCGCTTCACAACTGGGAATTTGAGGTCCAGCTGGAGACCCCTTGCCATAGAGCAACCCAAGTGCCAGTCCGACTGCGGGGACTGGCATGATGATGTGTTCTTTTATTAGAACTTCATTGCTTTTTTCATGTTTACAAATTTAATATTTAACATAAAA